CAAAAAGCACGAACTGAGGCACCATTTTTGCACGGAGGGCGCGCGCAAAAAGCACGAACTGAGACACCATTTTTGCCCGGAGGGCGCGCGCAAAAAGCACGAACTGAGGCACCATTTTCGCACGGAGAGTGCGCGCAAAAAGCACGAACTGAGGCAGGTTTTTTGCACGAAGGATGCGTGCAAAAAATTGGACCTGGGACCCCTAGAACGTGGAACTGGACAGAAAAATTTGGCCAAAGTCGCGGTGCATTTTTGGCGCCTTTGTTTGTGCACCAACAAAAAAAGCACGAACTGAGGCACAATTTTCGCACGGAGGGCGCGGCCAGTTTCGACAATTTCTTAGTGGCCAGTTCGCGGACTGGATAGACTGGAGTTGGCTGGGGCAGCAGAGGTGCACGAAGGCCACATAACGGCGCGCAAACAGCGAAGTTGCCAAGATTGAGGCTTCACTGCGCGACAAAGTTTCTGGGAACGGCAAAGGTAGCAAGATTTACGGTGCCAAAAGTTTTTCTGGGAGCAGCAAAGATTGCAAGATTCAGTCTTTACTGTGCGAAAAAGCTTCTGGGAACAGCAAAGCTAGCAAGATTGACTGTGCCAAAAAATTTTCTGGGAGCAGCAAAGATTGCAAGCTTCAGTCTTTACTGTGTGAAAAAGCTTCTGGGAACAGCAAAGGTAGCAAGATTTACTGTGCGAAAAAAACTTCTGGGAGCAGCAAAGATTGCAAGATTCAGTCTTTACTGTGTGAAAAAGCTTCTGGGAACAGCAAAGCTAGCAAGATCTGCTGCGCTAAAAGTTTTTCTGGGAGCAGCAAAAGTTGCAAGATTCAGCCTTTACTGTGTGAAAAAGTTTCTGGGAACAGCAAAGGTAGCAGGATTGACTGTGCCCAAAATTTTTCTGGGAGCAGCAAAGATTGCAAGATTCAGTCTTTACTGTGTCCAAAAGCTTCTGGGAACAGTAAAGATAACAAGATTGACTGCGCCAAAGCATTTCTGGGAGCAGCAAAGGTTGCAAGATTCAGTCTTCACTTCACTGCGTGAAAAAGCTTCTGGGAACAGCAAAGTAGGTAGCAAGATTGACTGCGCCAAAACTTCTGGGAACAACAAAGTTAGCAAAATTCAGCTTTTGCTGCTCCACAAAATTCTGAAGGCGGCAAAGATGGCCTTTGCAGCCTTTATCATGTCAAACCCCTGGTCAAATATATACTTTCAAGATTCAAATCTTACTGCTCCGCAAAATTCTGAAGGCAGCAAAGATAGCCTTTGCAGCCTTTATCATGTCAACCCCCTGGCTAAATACTTGCACAGGAAGAGCAAAAAGCATAGAATTTTTTGCTACTAATAAACAACAGCGTGCAGGGCCCTATGCATGCATGAGCCTCACACATGCAGCTCAGGCGCGAAAAGGAGGCGTCACACAATTGGCAATTGGAAGGAAAGTCCGACTCCGACAGCCGCAAGATGGTCCCCTTCTCCACCTCGGCCAGCGCCTGCTTAGAAATGTCAGCAGCGTTCTCTTCCGCCGAAACATAGTTCTCGGCCAAACTGTCCTGGAAGTCCTCATCGGTGGGATCCACCTCATATACCAGCGGTGTCCTGGGCATCTCCTCATCAACCCCCAGCATCACGCCCTTTTCGGCCACACCCGCCAGGAAGTCAAAACCCTCATCTCCCAGCAGCCCTGACGCGCTGGAAGTTTATCTCGGCGAGCCTATCTCCCGACTTTCTCTCGGCATCGAGGCCCCTCTCCTTCAACCACAAACCCAGCCTGTTCCTGAAGCCCCAGACCTCTCCGCCAAAGGGGTTGCCCTCCAGCTTGCCCGCGGCTAGGGACCAGAAGATCTTCTTGGCTTTCTCTTCGCCCTCCAGCTCTATCCAGTCCTCAAAGGACTTTAGACACCCTGGAAAGCTCTTTGCCCAGATCAGAAGCCGGAGCCAGCCGCCTCCCCGCCGGCCACCGCCCTGGTGAGCACAGGCCAGCCCCGTCGTGCAGAGACCTGTTGCACTGCTGTTCAAGGAGCCCGTACCACCAGCAATGTTGCTCAATGTTGCACCACCAGCAACGTTGCTCAATCCCGTACCACCAGCAATGTTGCTCAATGTTGCATTGTTGTCCACTGAGACCCCGCCGCCAGCAATGTTGCTCAATGTTGCACTGTTGTCCACCGAGCCCTCCATAGCCGTCTGCCTCTTCCTCTTTACCCCCACTTCAGCAGAAGAGGTTGCGGCCCTCAGGTCATCTAGAATGGATGTCTCATCGGCAGCAGTTCGAGCAAGGGAGATTGCGGGCATGCATTGACACACACCGACCAGTGGGCCCGTGTAAACGCCCTGCTCGTCGAACTGTGGCCATTCATGAGGACCCCAGAGCAGCAAGGCTGTGATTGGTCAAAAGCCGAGTAGGCTTTCTGTAGGGAGCACGCCAACAACACTGGTTAAAGGCGACGGTGTGAAGCAGCAGACTGTTGCGCGGCTGTGCGCACTGCCTTATGTCCGACAGCTGCCAAATAGATGCAGGATGAACCTCCACGTTGTCCTCCTCGCGCCATATGACGCCAAGGTCTTCAGGGTGTTCCCCGAAGACAAGCGCCAGCGAACCATCATGTGCCCGAGGGTGTTTGTCCAGAATATGTAACACCTCAATCATAAAGCGAATCAACGCGTTTCCCAGCTCTGCGTCTCTTTGGTGGCGCTTCGACAGCCAAGGAAAGGCTGAGGGGCGCGCTCGAGAACGCACCATGGTTGGCCCCCTGCAGTTTGCTCCCCTCACTCGGAACCACGTGGAGCACGGAGGTGTGATCAACACCACATGGTATCGACCTTGTGCCAGCTCTCGCAACAACCTCTCTTGTAGGGACTTGTCAGCTAAGTCCCACTCATCACGCACGTGAAACTGTATGCCAGTGCCATCTGCCAGCTGCTGTAGAAATGAGGCTATGAACGCTTTGCGTTTTGCCCCGCTGACCCGGCCGTGTCCTTCTTCCCGGAGCCGCTGTAGGCATGCGTCGGATGACTTCCGAAGCACACCTGACAGACATGTAGGCGCCCGCACTGAAACCTGCAACGCTCCCTTGGGTTGTTCCACTTCCAGCTCGTCCTGCCCTATGACTACCAGGTTCGTCGTCAGATGGTGAAGCTGGTCAACGAAGGAGCAAATATGGTGGTAGCGCTCAAGGAGGCGATGACCGATACCACTATAAAGGAGATAAAATATTTCCTTACACCAAATGTATACTCTCAAGTGACCAGCAGCACTACCTCGAGCCGGGGAGACTATGCGCGGTCGAGGAGCCCGCCTCAAGCTTGGCATCCATGGCATGAAGATCGCGCTGATCACCCTAAAGGGAAAGGCAAAGGCAAGAAGGGAGGCAAGAGCAAAGGGAAGAAGGGTCGTCAGATCCGCGACAAGACTCCTGACGGACACCTCCCCATCTTTGTTGACTGCCTTCAAACCTAGGACATGATCACCAAGCATCAAATCCAAATATTTGAGGAAATTAAATGCCGTGGCTGAAGATCACGGAGGCTTGCTTTCTGTGGATACTTCAGCTGAGCGAGCAAGAACGAATGCGCAAACATTCGCTTTCTGAATTCCTCAGGCGACCTGGGCTTCTGGCGCTCTCCATATAGCCCTTCTTGATCTTCAACGCGCCTGTCCCCTTCTCAACGGTGGCGCCCAGGACGTCAGCTTCAGCGTCCTCCCGGCTCAGGAATTGAACCAGGCTCATATTCTTGAACTCACCTTGTTCGACTTGATCGAAGATTTGCTCCAAGGTGGATGCCGCTGGTGTGTTTCTGTCTTCCAGCTTGATTCCATGCACCTTCTGAAACCTGACAAAGAGCTCTTGGATCTCCACCTTGTTGAGAGCCTGGCAGGCTTGCAACTCCTGCCTCTGCTTCCGCCTGGTTCCTGATGGAGATCCTTGTACTCGCAGATTCCCAAGCATCCACGAGTGAAGCCACCTCCACCACATCTCTGGCCTCGTCCAAGCCGAGCACGTCCACACAGAACTTGCGCATGCCACCCCCCGTCGTCCGCGACTGTGTTCATCCTGCTCACGCTTTCTGACCTTGGCCACCGACAGCTTCAAGAGACCGCGCAGGTCAGCATCTAGAAGCGCCACGGCGTTGCGCCTTCTCTCCTCGGTGTCGTGGCCGATGTCTACCACGGCCTTGCCCCCCTCTCGGGCGCTCCGCGACGGCCCACCGTTACGCCGCCGCGTTCCGTGTGGCCCACCTTAAGCCTAAAAGATTTCGGCACTCCTCCGTCCTGCCGCGCGCTCAACTCTGCAAATCAAACATGCCAATCAAAGGCAACTTACGATCAGTCAGACCTGCCAGTACCACCTGTATGCCTTTTACAACTCTCGACAAACTCGACCGAGTCGAAGCCGAAACACATCCCTAGATATCTCGACCCTGTCCTGGATTCCCCCTACAAAACGCAAACCATCTCAGTGCAGCATCTCCTAGCTCACGACCCTTCGATCTCTCACGCTGCACTTTGCACTGTGCGGGTGCCATGTCTCCACAGAGCGAATCACCTGTACACGTTCTCTTCACTCTGTGCTGTCCTCTTCACTATCGGTCATTTCCGACGACGAAACTTCTCCTGAGGTGTCATCCCCAAGAGCGCTCATTGCCTCTGCGTCCCCTCCACAGAAGCACTGTCTACATGCGCGATGATACATCGCTGTGCTTGGGGTCTCCTCCCCCAGCACCTCGAAGCAGGCATAATTGAGCCCAGGCTATACTATTCTATGCAAGGTCCTGGTCTTTGACCGACCGACAATTGAAACGACGTACATGCCCGAGACTCGCTCTAGCTGTGTCACTGCCGGCTGCTCGCCCGCTTCCTCCTCTGCCTCGCTGTCATCGACCATTGGAGCTCCAGCTGGCGAGGCAGCCTTCTCGGAATCTGCATCGTCCTCCACCACTGGCCCGTCGTCGTCCAGTCAGGCCTTGCGCTGATTGGCAGCTCCCTTGCCCGGCATGAAGGTCATGAGGACCATCAGCTGCCATCGATGTCTTCCTGTCGCCACCCGACATCGTTCATCCTCTGTTCAACTAACTGGGTCACAGAGGTCTCGTCGAATGGATCTGAGTTCGAGACATTCTCCCTGATGAACGTTGCCAACGTCCTCTGGCATCTCAGGACATTGATCCTCACGTTCCGCTCATAGCCCTCGTCTGCTGAGGGACGCCAGCGTCCAATCATCTTCCTCACATCCTCGGGCACCCTTCCAGCCTGCGCCCAAGTGCGGATTGTTGCCCGCTTATATGCTCGGTCCAGAGGGCGCCCAAACCCCTTCAGCAACGGCGCCCTGTTGTCTCCCTTTCCGGTGGTGAGCTGGTTGAAGAGGGCCTGCGACATTGCCGAAGCTATAGGATAGTCGACCACCTTCCTGACAAAGCCCGGCAGCATGAAGTCTATGGTGGGTAGCCCCGATTCTACCCCCATGGAATTCCACAGCTTCCAGCCCTCCTTCAACCAGGAACGATCATTGAGCCAGGCATCCTTGCTGACATAGAACGGCGAGAGAACAATTCTCTTGCCTGGACCCGAGGTCTTTGAGCGATTTATCACGCCCTTCAAGCCCAAGTGAGTCAGCTCCATCGTACGATTCGGCACCCCCTTTGTGTCATCGAAGCGCATGCCTGACCAAAGCTTCACCAGACGAAACCAGGCATAGATGCGATCATAGTTCTTTGCAGACTCATCGCAAACCTGCTGTTCCCATGCGATCACGATGGAGACCGGCAGCAGCAAGGCCTGTTTCGCAGGCTTCAACTCCACAGTCTGCAAGCGGAGGGATGCCTCCTCCAGCGTATTCTTCACCGAAGGCGCGCGACAAACCTGATCGCCCTCCGGAACTTCGCCTGCGTGCTCCAAGAACATCAGGGACTTGAATGCAGACTCAGGGAAGCTGCGCGAGCACGGTTCCTCCACCATGGCCTCGATGAACTTGGCGAACTGCTCTGGGTATACCGAGGCCACGGCACACCAAAGGCTGCTTCCAGCCACCTCGACACCTTGGCCCACGTTTTGACGTGCTTCCTCAACGTGTTTGGGCGTCTGCCCTTCACCACACAGATCAGAAGTGCTTCGTCCCCTGACCGTCGTGCCACTGGCAGGTTGGCCTGCTTGACCACATCCTTGATCTCCTTCACCCATCTCTCTCTCTCTCTCTCTTGCTTTTCTGCGCGTTCTCGTAGCGCCAGATCGCTTGAGGCTAAATGCAGCTTTAGACTCAGTCGTGTTGGCCACCTCGTACGCTTGGCCGAACCCACCAGCTGCACCTTGGACTTGACATCGTCCGCGATCACCGACTCCAGGGTCTTTCTCCGCTGCTCACGCTGATGAGCCACGTGAGCGTCCAACAGGTCTTGAGACCCCCTCTTGGCATCCCAGAGATGCTTCGTCTTCGCCTGCGTGGCGGCTCGATCCACCACCTCTGCCATTCGCTTCAAGCTAAGGTCGAAGCTCTCGTCATGGCGCTGCCTGCCACACCACTGCGCGGAGTGTAGCCTCATCGCAGCCTCTCAGGGTGGCTAGTCTCGTCATAGTCCACCCCGCGCGCTCTAACGCACTGATCTCCCGACCTGCCAAGCCAGCAAGGCTGCAGATCAGGGCCAGTGCGTCTGCATTGTCCATGGCGGCGTATAATCCCCTTCACCGAGAAAAGGGCGTCTTGAGCCGCCACCTGTGGAACGTTCCGTGACAAACAGTGATCTTCGATCAACTTGTCATTTTTCTTTTAAACATATATTCATGTTGACACTGGTCCCGCTCTCAGTGCTTCCAAGGTTTGTGCTTGCGAGGTGTTGCTGGTCTTTGATCGCCGATTATGTCGATCATCAACCGAAGTTGAAGGTGATCCGTTCGTTCGCTTCCGGATAGAAGCCTTGGGAGGCCTCGATCTTGGCATGTTCGCTTTGGAACATGAGCCATATTGGAAAATGTATCCAAAGTAGATGCTTTTCCAGCAAAGCAATTGCTTCATACAGCAATTTCATGCAATTTCTCGATTAGGCAAAGGAGTCCTATGGTGTCTGATTCGATTTCTAGAGGTCAGGTCTCTTGACTTTGGAGTTTTCATTGCAGATTGCCATGCCTGAAAGTCCTGGACGATGTACTTCGGCTCTCTTCCAAATCGCTGGTAGCAAATGTATGAGGAGATTTGGGCGGCAAATTCACAAATGTTGGACGCATTGCAACCTAAGCAATTCCAATCAACTCTTTCAAGTCTTGCAAGCACAACTGAGCACAACCTCTTATCTCCACTTTCTGTCCTGGCATTCGCAATATTCGTAGTATGTTTATAGCCAACTGAGCTCGTCACGTGGATCCGTAATGCCGGTTGGTCTTCCCAAACCTCCGTCTTCTTTGGCTGCTATGGCAACAAATTGATCAATCAAAGCGTTGGTTCCAATCCTTCAAGCAGTGCCACCAAACATGTGAGTTCTACAATATTCTATATATTATGTTGCGCATTGCCGTGCTACAGTAGTACTGTACGTGTTGAATTGCCGTCTATATTGTAATTTCACAGAGTACACTAAGTCTGGTTGATTTCTCTGGTATCAAAATCAGCAGGCCACGGCTTTCCGAGAGACAGGTCACAACTGCATAAAACCCAAAGGTGTCCATACACCTTCTACACACATTGTAATCCATCCTGGTCCTCGAAAGCAAGAAGCCATCTAGCCAGTCATCAAAAAAGTTCGTCTCCTGCTGTGAAAATTTGTTCAGCCGTTTCCGGAGCTTGTAGATGCCAGATGCTGAGAGAGCAATGGTATGCTTTCCTTCTTCCCGAATAGACTTGAAGGTGCCAACAAACTCCTTCATATCAGGGTCGCTGTAGTTGAGCAATACTAAATCTCTGTACCATCTTGTCAGCCGCTGGTGCATTTTCACGAGTTCAGGGATGGCCTGTGGACTACAAAAGAGGCAGCACGACCTACCAAAAAGTGGCGAGTGTTTCAACCCAAGTATATTCAACGCACATTGAGACAAAATAGTGCTATTCAACCCCACTATACACATTTGGTGCGAATCACCATGACAACGAACCCTGACAATGATCAAACATGCTCATTTTTTTTCTGCACTTCTGATCCTGCCAGCCGTCCAATGTTTCGATCAGCCGAATCCTGAGAGCAAACCGCCTTGGTACCTCCCTTTGGATGATGGACACCATGTCACGAGCATCTCGCCATGTCACAATCTGGCAAGCAGGAGTTGATTGGGGCAACATTTGTGATATTCCAATGGGGCAGAACAAACCAGTCTCACGACTGAGGATTTATATAAGCTATCTCACAAACGAAGACAGAAGACATCACCCCCTGCCTGTCGCATGGAAACAGCCTTGACAGGCACAGTGGCCAAGTACGCCACTTCAGCCGTCACGAGTTCTTGGAAGCGTTCTTCGGGCACTGCGACCAGCCTTTCAAAAATGACGGAACCAGTTCTATGTCTCGTCAGCGCCACAGGTTTCCCAACCTTCAAGATCCACATGACGTCGTGACATTTTAGATCATTGTAGTATATTTTAATGCACTATTCCAACCTTCTATGCCCTCAAATTGCCTTAGTTAAATGATGCCGCTGGCTTTTTCCGCCTCGGATTTGTTTTGCAAAGCCTGCGAACGTACTGAAGGTAGTTCAAAACCGCAACATGGTTTCACTATGTGTCAATATTGAGTTTTTACTTTTACGGTGCATCCTGTCTGTTTCCTCCTCCTCCCCCCTTCCTCACCAGCTTAAAGCTTGCACCAACTGATCTCACACCAACTCAACTCACTTAGATTCAGAACATTCACTCACTTACTAGTACTACACCACTTTCACTGATTAACTTTCACCAACCACTCACTCATTCACTCACTTGCTCACAATGCACAAATGTAAGGGGCTGCTGAGTTTCGATTCAGTTGAGTTTTTGACCTTTGAACTGGATTTAGCTGTGGTCTGGGTTGAAGTCGCGCGAAAGGCGCTGAAGGGGTATTAGCGCAGGCGCCAAGTTCTCACTCAAAACTATATTCAAATTCAAACTGTCTCATAAGGGCGTGGATAAACGGGGGTGGGATTGCTTGTCAGTATATGTCAGAAGAAGAGCACCCATGTTGCGCGGCGGCTTACAGGAGAGCCACTCAATGTCAACAGTGAAGGCAACAAAACATGGTCAATATTATATCATCCAACAGGTGTTTGCGCTTCCTGCCAACTTTGTTCTGCGGGTGAATGTCGTCAAAGACCATCTGGAAGGTCTGGGCAGTCAACTGCTGGATGGACAAAGCTATGAATGAGAGAGCCTTCGGGTAAACTTGAATGTCCGAGGCTGCACGCACCACATGAGTGACCGGATTGGAAACGCTTGCGTGAGCGGCGATCAAGCAAGTCTACAGGATCAATTTCGGGGTGCGGGCTGCGAGTGCCTGTTAGCAACGCGTTGCGTGCAAAGGGCGCACTTGATTGTTGTTAGCGTGAAGGCGCCGGTGTTGAGCGTTGCCTATTATGCACCAAGCATGCAAAGCTGCGAACGCCTCATTTGCAACGATTTGCGGGTGTTCGTGCTTTTGCTTTTTGTGCACCAGTCGTGACTTAGTGGACTTGCCGCGCCGAAGATAGACTGCAACAATTGCACTTTGAGCGCAGGCCCCTGAAAAACCAGGGTGGACATGAGTTCTTGTGCTTGGGTTTTGGCGGGTTGCTGCGTTGCAGCGTTGAACGTAGAACAGGCGTGCGTGAAGTTGCCGCAAAAGCTTTTCCCGAAGGTGTAGCGAAGGATTCTCGTTTAACTCTGGGGGTCTGGGGGTAGAGTCTTGTTCGCGGTTCGTTGTCGTAGTGAGCATGACGTATCAGATTCCGGTGAAATAGCCCGGAAACGTGTGGACGCGCAACCAGTTGAAGTGTGGAGGATGATTTTGCTGCGCAGTTGCAGCGTTTTGTGAGATCCGCAGTTTCCTTCGCTGTGAGGTTGTGATTGGCGTGTCGAGACTGGTGTGTTAGAGACGTTGGATGTGGCTGTGACATTGGGGTTCACTTCTACTGGCAGGCGCAGTGCAGTACTTTGTGCGTGTTGGAGGTATCGAAGTTGAATTTTCATGGCAGGTGGAGGGAATCGTGAGGTTGCGACGATTGGTGGAGGTGAATGTTGCTGTGACAGTGGGATTGAAGTGTCAGCGGGCGTGGTTTGGACGAAACTGCTTGGCAGGCTGCAGAATGTGATTGGCACTTTTGAAGGACGTCTCGGTAAGAAGCGCTCGCTCAAAGACTTTGATGCGTGACTTTTGGAGGAAGTCTGGGACGAAACGCTACTTGACACGTGAATCTTGCGCGAAACGCTCCTTTTGTCTCGCGCGGAACGCTCGGTGTGGAGACTTGACGGGTGACATTTGGAGGAAGGATCGTAAGAACGCTTGTTTTTCACAGTTGAAGTTGAAGTGCGATTGATATTTGTTGCTCCATCACCTGCTCGTGAGCTTGGGGTCACTCCCCGTTTGCACTTGCAAGGTGGCTTCTGATCCTGGGTACCGCGTGCCACAGATGATAGTGGCTTCCTACAACGTTGCCTGCGCATGTGTAGACTCAAAATGTAGCAGTTAGCAGTTTGATGCTAGGCACTCTGAAGCAACAGGAAGCAACATTAAAATGCTCACGTGGCAGCCATGGCATGATGTATGAGATCCGTTCTGGAGAACTGGGCTTGAGGCATGGATGCATGCTAGCGTAGATCACACGTTAAGAACGGAAGATAATGATGTAGGTTTGTTTGTCAATCACCTATTACAAAGAGTGAAAAGCTTGGACTACTCAATAGGTGGCAAGGCGACACACTTGCTAATGCAAGACGGAGCAACAATAATACAATAGCTGAAGCAGTGCTTCAGTTAAAAGGCAAGTTGGAACAAAGCCTGTGGTTTAATTAACATGGTTTAACTGTTCCAAATACAAACTGCTTAAAAAGCAAGTATACATTACATTCTAGTTGCAGAATGTTACAAAGCAAGTATACATACAATAGAAAAACACAGGTTACAAAGGGCCTGCGTAAAACTCGCTTGTAAACAACTGCAGGCTGAGTGGGATATTCTTTGACCCCACAGTTTGAAAGTATATTCAAAAATTCAAAACATAGGTTCGTCGATGCAAACCGCCTGGTAGGATCAATCTCGTCACCAATTGAGCTGGGTGCAATTTGGGAAGCTGATCGAAATGCACCGCACAATCCTTGGGTCAAGCAAGGATTATACATCTCACACAAGGCCTTGCTTTTGAGTATCGTTGGGCTAACTGCGTGCTTACACAGGGATGCCCTCTTGCAGCAAAAGCTCTTATGTGCAGAAAGTGCACTTGCAAGCGCATCCTAAAGCGGCAGAGCGAAGTCGACATGGTGCCACCCACAATCCAGCGAGGGCCCTGAGCCGCTAGGGCTGTCTAAGTGTACCATAGCCTTGTTCGATGCAAGAATACTGCCTAAAGCTTCAAGGGACATGAGGAAAGGCGGCAAAATCACACGCCTCCCAAAGAAAAGACAGAATAGGAACAATCGATAACAAAGACAGCAACATGACCACCAAAGCCAGTCTCGCACTTTTGCACACAGATGAGAGAAACTCCTGAGTTGAGTACATGACATCTGCCACGGAAGTCCTTTGGAACATATTGCGGTGGACGAAGCAAAACATTGAACACCACTTCATAGGATCCGCTAGCATTCGAGTCGAGTGGTTCGGGCCGATTCATCGGGACAAATCTGCGAAATTCCACAACTTATGAGTAACTGAAAAAAACGTACTGTATCCGCATTTTTGTTCCCCTCAGGATGTTGTCTTGTTGGGGTATGTTGGGGTCCTTCAAAGACTTTACCGTTGATTGGTAGTTTCTTGTGATGACAAACTCAGAAATGGCCGCAGCTGCCCTTAAACTTTGGCTGGCTGATTCGTAAACCAGCAATTCTGAAGGTTCAGAAGGACTTCCAAAAACATAGAGCATCAAAGAACAAATCACAAACGACTGCTCTCAATCTAGTGCAAAGTCAAGCTGACTCAATTTCGTCTAAACGACGGGAATGAAGACCACCATCCACGCACCATCATCCTCGCCATCCATGCTTTTCAACAGGGTTTGTTTCAACAGGGTTGAAGCATTCTCGTTGGCACACGTTGGCACGCCGGCCTAGAGAAATACAACGTGATCCACAATGTACTGCAGGAGATAGAGACCAGGCACACAGCCAGGGTAGGATATCCTGAATTTAAGTTTCGTGATGAATGATAAAACTCTGTACTGTGGTGTCTGTGTGTACTGCCAATCACGTTGGTATATCATGGTATACTTTGTTCCGCAGCAAACTGAATCAGAAATTATTTTCCAAGCCACGGTTGGCCAATCTATAGCTCCAGCAACCCCACAAACGGACCTGCGTACCAACATTTTCAGCACCTTCACGGCCAGTCTACTGTCATTCTGGACTTCTTTCATTGAGGCAGCGGGCCGCGAACCATAACCAGCTGTTTCGAACGCTTCCTGCGGACATCCAAACCAAATGAAAACACAACGGCGTCGGCGGCAGCGGCCGCAGTGGAATGTTTGTTACTTTTGTTTTGCCACAGAGCCAGTAAATTTTTTGAATAGTTTCACAATGTTTCACATGCTTGACCAGCTAAGTTTTCCGTGTTTTGTTTAGGGCCCTCAGGCTGGCCGCGGGCTCAAAAGGCTTTGTTGATTTTTTTTCTGGCGGCACTGTTTCCTGGTCTGTTGGAACACGGTGTGA